TTACTAAAAAATATATAAAATAGCAGTAATAACATATTTCTAATAATTCTCATGTTAATCTGGTAATGGAATACTGATATCCTCTAATTAAATCCTTACATATAAATAAGTGAATGATTAAGGCCAAACATAGGCAAGTCGCGAACGTGTTATATGTAATAAGTACGTAGGTACAACGCAATTTACGTGCAGTGACAAAGGACTATTTTTTATCATCACATGCTGCAATAGGTATCTACTGATTAAACAGGCTCTGTAGCGCTATTGAATAACAACCACATTTTTTTTTTAATAATACTATTTTTAGTGATTTAATTCAGAGAGTATTATTTGTATGAATCTGCCACTAAAAGGTTCTCATCAGGTGATGTTACAGAATCAAAATGTGAACATATTCACTAATTTCTGTTCGACCGTTTAATGGCGAAAAGTTTTACATTTATTATTAAGTATCGTCTCGCCCAGACTTCGTAAGAGTGCATTACAAGTCTTTGAGTTTCACGGCTTTTCTGTACTATAATATGCATTTGTTATAATATATAAACCTTTCTCTTGAATAACTCTATCTATTGCTGTAAAATGCATAAAAATTCGTTGCGTAGTTTAAAAGATCTAAGCGAACAGACAGCTGCGGCGATTTTGTTATATACTATGTAAAGATATTAACTACAATAAATTATCATATAAATTAATTTCTATCCTGCTATACACACAAAATTGACAATTTCATCTAATTATAAATAAACTTGTCATAGTACAAATTTCAGTATAACTATCTACGTTTGAACACATAATATCTTACTTAGAGTCGGCATAGAAAAATATTACCGCATTACTATATTACTACCTATTATTTACTGTAATGAATACTCGTGTTTTAAATTAGTTAACATAATGGCTTGCTTCGCTGTATTTGTATAGATACTCAGTATATTATATTAGATAACTATATTGGAAAAATACATTCAACACATCTATACCAATTCATACCTACTGATATGCTTATATTATAAATAAGTCAGTCTCTTCGTTGATCTTTCCACGACATATGAACTGATTCTTATTATTCATGATTCGCTTTCTTTCACTGACGGCCGCCTTATCTCCTATGGTAGCGGGTTCGATTCCTCGCACGGTACAAACATCCATGAGTATGATTGTTTGTATTGATCTGAGTTACTATATATATTACGTATATATTTACAAAAAAATGTATCTAAGTGTTTATATTAGTTGTCTAGTAGCCATAACACAAGCTCCGCTAAGCTTGGAACTAGATGGCGCTGTGAGAATTCTCCTGTGTTATTATAATTGAAAGTTGGTGTGGGGATAGAATGTGTCATGATTACGAATATTTTATCTCGAAAAATTATCTGAATGGTAGTAAAATAGGGGATGAAATGTTGTGCAGATAAAGTCGATTCGACTAGTATGTCTATAATATTTGAACTAACTATGACGTCATTTTGATATTTTTTTTTCTTCTAATCATTCAAACTTCTTCTAATTATAATAATAACATTATATAATATATAACATTTTCATATTTCTATTACAATTTAACAAAGACCTTTCCGTTGTACAGATGACTAAAGCAGTTACCAAGTTTTATCGTCTACCGCGACTTCAAACAATTGAGAGGTCAGACTTTATCTCATGATTCACTCAACCGATTCTGATAAAAACATAGCACTTTATGTTAGGTAATAAATGCCTACACATTTATAAAATATCGACAATATTTAAGCATTTTCTCAACACGCAGAAACAAATACACAAGCATATTTAAAATTGTAAAAGTTAATTTTTTTTCATAAATTGTCGTCGATAATGTCAACCAGAATTAAATATATACAGACATATGCACATATACATAAATATTTAATAAATATATAGAAAATGACAAAAATATTAGATAAAAGCATCATTATAGCATATTTCTCTAATATCTTTTTGTCTTAACCCTAACGCTTATTAAAGTACACTCAGTGTTTATCCATAGATAAATTGAATATGTATATAAAAATTGCAATCACAATCCCTTAGGGGACTGCAATATCGGATGACTCGCCAGCCCCAGACTACTCAATAAAAATTAATTATGTCCCTACTACAGAAGGGGATACTGAGTCTCATATCAATTATAAAGCTTATTGTTTACAGAAGAAGAGTCCGTAATTTTAATACGAGTACGTAGTAAATGCAGTCGTATGTATTAAGAGTTAAAAACTTTTGTACCTTGTCACAATAAAACTTATAAAAGTAATATTTAAACATTGCTTGAAATTGCCAATAACGTCACTATGACAATATACAAAATATTTGCATACATTAGTTACATGAATTTAAATATCACGACTTCACCTGTTCTATATAATATAAAGTTACCATGTCCAAAAATAATCTGAATTTCATCGAGCTCATTAAAGCCATTTTAAAAACAACTTACGACGGATACATGTAGTACTTTAATTAAAAATTTTTGAAATCAACAAAGATAATTTTGTATGCAAAGATCTCGTTAGGACTTTATTACTGTAGTTTATTGACAATCCGCTTATGTAGTATTTTACGAAACAGAGGCCAAGACAAGAAATTATTTGCACAAAAAACAACCAACTATAAACAGGAGTAAAATTTAAACAGGAATAAATTTTATCGGTTGCAATATAATCAAAACACGGAATCGAAAACGAAGTCTTTTTGAAATTGAACTGTATTTTAATAAACTTACATTAAAAGGCTTTTCTGAAGAAAATTGTAAAGTGGAGTTGTCAGGTTATTCCAAATGCGATAGAATTTTTCTTACTTTATAAAATTAACCAGTTGAACAGTAGTACAATAATAGACATAGGCTATAAAAATTGCAAACAACACCCGGGTACCAACAGCCAGTCTCTCAAATAAAGACTATTTTGTCTGAATAAGTTATGTACTTGGAACGCAATTCTATTTCTATTAAAGTACTCGATTATCTTTCACAAACGAATGCCTTTCACTATAGGGCGATTTTGTAACTCACGACCTACATAAAAGCCAGTTTTGATGTAGTGGCCCTTCGCTGGACTGTGAAGATACAGCATAATGATATTGAAGTAATGTTACGAAATGAAGATCACGCTGTATTTACTTTGTCGTAGACATATTCTTAAATAAGTATTATTCTTACTATGTAACAGCTATTAATAATGTCGACATGTTTGCAATATTACGTATGTACATTTTATTACCAATACAAATTATGTTTTGCCAAATAATAAAATAATGTTTCCTTTTTTTCTTCTTATTTCTTTAGAGTTTTTGTACACTTTAGTGTAATATCACAAACCCAACGTACCTATACCGCGCCTAAATAACAAAACAATCAACTAAAATTAATGTGATACCATCCAGAGTCAACTCGTAAACACGGCCAGTACAACCTAATCAAACGCTGAGAGTGGTAAACTTTTATTTACTATACAATTACTCGTGTTAAGGCCCGATTTATTAATAATGTAATACCAGCCAGTACAGTAACTTAGCTGAATCCTAAAGTTGGCTGTGCCAGTATTCCGTGGGATAACGGCTCGCCGTCGACAGGGAATACATCCTCAACCCTGGGACCTAAGTGGTCTGGGATAGTGTGGTTTCTGAGGAGCTTCTTCCCGTGTATACTAAGATTATGGATAGAAATCCTGCCAAGGTTTTATCTATAGGCCACAGTATAGGGTTTTCAAGAAGAGTGCATAAAAGTTTCTCAAGGGTCGGCAAATCGCAGGTGACACCCCTGGTTTTTCAGGCGTCCGTAAGCAGAGATGGATTGTATGCTTGTTAGGCACATTGATTGAAATAAAGAGTACAATCCATGTTAAATTCGTACTGTATAACTCATTCTACAACTGGGATGTGATGTAACCATTGAATGAATAAATTATATTTACTTCTTCGTTATCCACTGAATATCTACATCACTTTGCCACCATTATAGTTAAGAAATATAATAAAAAAAATTAAGAACATGTAAAGTTTATACCGAAATTAATAATTAAAATTCCTACCTTCTAAAATTAAATAAAATTTAAACTTACTACATATTAGTAACGACGTAATCAAAACGTACAGTTTTTGAAATTTGCGTCTGCCTGCGTGTCTACGTTTATTAGTCTATCACGACACGGCAGGATCAATTACATTATTTGATTTGCATTTACAGGCTGGTTAAAATAATAGCATAAAATATTTCTGCAAGTTACGAAAAACAGTTATACGATTTCAAAGTTGCTACAATAGAGACTTGTATCTTATTTCGAATATAAATGAGGGTCCCATCTATGATCGTGTGTAAATTAAATTTTATTTACGGCCCGTTCAGTGCAACGAAGAGTTTCAGTTTCAGTAGTAAATTACTTATTTGATAAGTTATAACTGTAAATTCGTTCATAAAATGAGCACGTAAATTGAGATTACAATCGAACGATAGTAAAGAAAGGTTGATAACAGACTGATTGAATTTGTATTTATATAGATATATAATTGAATAATAAAGTTGTTATATATTCATAAAATAACCATTTATGCATGAAAATATTTAATAATAAATATTGTAAGAAATTAAATGAAAAGAAAATCCTGTTTCGGCGAAGCCTACAATGAGTTAAAGTTAGGTGTCAAAATAATTTGTCCCATTTTATAGAATCTATATAGGGATGTAAAACATTAGTGATGTACTCCGTTATCGCCAAACTTTATGTTGTCAATTCTATCCTGTTAGAATATTCACTAACTTAGATATACAGAATATACTTTTATATGCATTATACAGAAAAGAAAAAAAATACACTGAAACATATATCAATACATTTGTACAACACTTACTGTTAGTGCATACAACACTTTGTCTAGAAAGCAGGTATGAATAAGGTACTTGATTATTTTATAATACAATTAATATTTATTAAATAATAAATAAATTATTGTATGTAAATAAAACAAGTACATCTTAATTATAAATAACTTACCTCAGATATCTCTGTGTATATCCCACGACGCTCGTGTTCATACGTCACATTAATGTTCGCGATTGTAAAAGTGTCGATTCGATCCTCGGCCGGACCGTAACGGACCGACTCCAGCTCGCTTCCTGGTGCATGGCATCCAACAAAAGCGGTAAACCAGCCCAACGCGGCCAGGCTACACCACAATTCTTCGGACCGCATCTTTCGGACCCACTCACAAATTTAATTACAGCACTACGAATTCACAATGTAGCTATTCTCGTTCTGTTTACACCAGCGACTAATAGTCAAATGTTTCTAAACATCAAGCCGAGCGTTATCGGCACAACATTTAACACGTCTTTCTACCGCAGAAGCGCGAGCACTGAACGACGTCTATTCAAAATCAGCACAACTTATCAACTGTTATCGGTTAACGCGTTTTCGCAACGGATTCAGTCGAGATATGCGATAATTTGACGTTATCAATACTTTACAAGTATTTGTTTAGTTGCCTCCGTGTGCGCCTCGGAGCGATTAAAATAAAATATGTCGAAGTTCTCATTCGGAACATGTCAATATTCTTTGTGTAAGGTGGACTGTTAATTCGCGCAGGTTTTCGTCATGATATAGCCGATGCCGGCTCCCGCATTTTCTGTCTTCGTTTGTGCTCTACAATATTTGGCTTGTAGTCGACCGCCGCCCCATAACCGTCCAGGAACTTGGTTGCAGCGGGCAACTGAAACAATGGAAGAGTGACGTCAGTATTGCAAACAGATATATTCTTAGTCACGTAGGCAATTTATGTTATGGCCGGTTACTTCGTACGTTTAAAGACGCGGCCAGTTATATTCAAACATCGTTTGTATAATGATGATTATAACGATCATATTCAATTAGTAAATTTATATTTTTTAATTAATATTAACAGAATAGTGTGAATGTGCTGTGTAATTGCGTGCTATATTCCATCTTAAATATCGATAAGAAACATGTTGATAGAGCAGTCTAGTACCATGTTTACTGACAAGCAGAACGTACCTAAATAAACACGATGATAATACCTATAAATAACACAATGTAGGCAATGGGTGAATGACCATTGATTTATATGAAATTTATATTCCATAATTTTCTATATGGAGGATTTTACAAAACAGAATGGCAGTGCGATGACCATTAAATAGAAAATAAATATGCAAATTAATTTATTTTTAGTATGCATTCTGTACCTAAGTTGGAATCGCATATTTAGTGAGGCACCTGCATGAGGCGTAGTTTTATGAAATAAATATATAGATATAATATCGCCGATAAAGAATAGTCATTGGGCAATCGATTCTAAATCTAATAACATTGTTACAAGACAACGATTTGATGTTCATGATGTTGTTCATATATGTACATGTAATAGTTTCTACTTGACATAAGGTAGGTCTTTCTTATTTTCTTTTCCATTTACATTAAAAAATTACAAACTCGATAAAGGCTATACGAATGTTATCGCTGTAGTGAGGCCTAATATATAAGGAAATCGTTGAACAGTAATAAAACATTCAATGCCTTGTGTAACGAGCTAGGTAACGGAAATTGGGTTGCAATAAAAATTTATATTAGAAAAATCTCAGATGGCGACGCGTCGTAACAATTTTCCTCGCCCGCGATGTTTATTCACTAAAATGTAAACAAAAAATATTTGGTATAAATCAAAATGTCCGTTAGCGGGTGTAAAATCAATCATAAGGGCATGTTGTTTATTACTAAAAAGAATTTTCGTGATGATGAATATTGTTTTCGTCTACCTTGCTGGTATACCAGTGGAATAAAAGTGGATGAAGTTAGGCATGTTATACGATAATGAATTCGCCATTTTTATCAAGATGGTTACAAAATGTTTCGTATATCGTTTATTTTAGATTTAGATTCAACAGCTAAACTTCATCTCGAAATAGACTTTGAAAATTGCTGTAATAGTAATAATTACATCAATTATATGATTTAAAAATAATATAATTGATGTAATTATGACTATTCTCATAGTGACGTCACGTATACGTTAAACCCGGGAAGAATTCCAGTCACTTCTGGTTATTACATTTAAAATATTGTAGCAATGTTATTTACACTTCCTACATGTTACATAATCTTATCTCAATCATAAGACTTTTGTATTTGCAGTAGATTTAAATTAAATAATAGTTGATAAACGAGACCTTGTTTAAAAAACATCAAATAGTGTTTTTGTCGTTTGCGTCAATAATAAATATTATTTGTGACTAGTGTGTACATTACAGAGTTTATACACGACTAAATTGTTCCAAATTGGTTCATATCTATAATTCTACATACGTAGGTACTAAATAATAGTAAAACATTGTATAACACCCGTATTCGGCATATGAGGGTAACCAATCGCCAGAATAACGCATCCTTTATACATATGTAGTGTAAAGGATCATTCTGGCAGTTGGTTAAGTGTAAGTTTACACTTTAATGAAAACGTGCTCAGGTTAATACAGAATAATTTTGTGGTGTCGCCATGTCGTATTGTTTTTTTAACAAAAAGAGGGAGATTATAAATTTTATTATCTGTGTGTGTCTGTTGCATGGTAGCTCCTAAACAAATGGAGCGATTATGACGCTTCTTTTTTAAGCTGAGATGGTTGTTAAAAATGTTTTTTACCTATATATTAAGATATTTTTATTTGGGACTTTAAAGAGTTTAATATTTTTTTGTAACTATGTAAACATTGGATTAAGAGTCGTAGACACTGACAATTGTGTCTAACAATCGATTTACTTTTATTAGTGGGCACAAGGACTTATGTATTCATTGTACACACTCAAAAACATTGACACAAGAATGAATTATATGAATTCATTATCAGAAATTGAATATTTCGACATAAATTGCAGAAAACAATTACGATTCGTAATTGGTACAGAAACAATGCGGTAATCAGAAAAAGATTTAATAATAATTAACAACAGAACATTTACTAACATAAATCGTGACAAAACTAATATAAGAGTAGACTAAAATAGGAATAAAAGATGACGACTAAACAGAAACTTATTATCGATCCAGATATCGCTTAACACAATAATACATCCTTATCGAGTTTGAAAATTGTGATAATAGCAATCTGATCACCTCTCCGGACTCGATAAAGAAACTGGCATATCATAGAAATACTAGCATCTTCCCGCAACTTCTATCATTATTCATCATATATAAACGGCAGCCTTTATCTTTATCCATCATAATTGCTATAAAGTCGTCGAATTTGTTTATGCTACTTTAGCGTGAAAACTACGGATAAAGTTACTTTTACTTTCTATAAGCAAAGAAAATAAATAAGGCAGGCATACATTGGACGCGGTCGCGACCATGACTGAGCTAGACCTGTCCTTGTGGCGCCACTGGCATTGGCCCGCGGTACTAATGATGTAGTTATGTCAAACAACAAACAACTCAAATATATCGATGATTGTCATAGAAAATAAACCTATAAGTATGTCAGTTTTGAAAGGAAAAACATATACTGGTAATTTTCTCATACACTGTGCAGTTGTGTGTTGAGTGTCTATAACTGGCCCGGCATCGAATTCGAGCTGACGATTGTAACTTTGCGAGGATTTTATATATTAACAATATATAAACTAAGTCACTCTGTGATAATTTACTTTTCAAACAGTGAAAGAATTTCTCAAATCTGTTTACTAGTTCCAAAGTTTTTCGTGTAACAAAATCTTCACCATGGAGTGGTGGTAAACCATTTGATTCTAATTATAACTACACAGCAATGTAAATATGTAAGATGAAAAAAATTATATTCTGGATATTTGTTAGTTATCAGTTATCTTAACTAACCCATTTAATAATAGCAAACATTTGTCTAAATTTTTGTTAACGAACAATGATTAAACAAACATCGATAACTCTCACTATTCAGGCCATATTTGGCCACCTCTAAAGCTAAGAATTCCGAACAGGGTAGCATCGCGTGACTTGCACTTTATGAGGGTAGGCATAAAGCTATTATAGTATCGAGGTTGTTTGATGAACTTGGACCCTAATCTACCGCCGGCCCTGACGAGAAAGTGTATATCACCTTGAATCGCGCAGTTTGGGGGTCATTTTGTACATCAATAAGAAGTAAGAAATTAATTCAATATAACAAGCGACTTCCTGTTCCGGATACCTGCCATCAGTTTTTTATATCTTTTAAGATCAGAAAACAATTTTTAGGGGGTAGGTTTATTAACAAAATTAATTATTTCAAAATAAGACATGACGTTAAATAATAGTTGTCAACATCAAATATAATAATAATAAAATTGCTGTCGATTCAGTAACAGTTCGTATGTTTCTCAGCTTTTAAACCACGCAACAGATATTTTGCCCATATTATATATTATTATTATATACATAATTAAACCCAGGAGAAGTTGGAACAAGCTAGTATTATTAATAATATAAAACACAAAAATATTATTTTTGTCCATATCAATAAAGATAAATTCTAGGAATATTTATCCAATAGAAAATGTAAGATACTTATAGAGTTAGCTATAATAGTCATAAACTTGTCAGCTTGATTCAGCATTTGTTTTAGCCCCATATTCAATAGCATAGCGTGTTGTGTCTAGACTCTAGAATAAGTACCGATTAAGCAGTTTACAATGTCATTCAACCTGCTACAATTTATCAATTAATATAATTAAAATAATATTTTCTTACATCATATTTATAGTACCAATGAAATAAAATTTAAAAGATAAATAATATAAATCCCTTAAGTAAGCAAAGTGTTTGGCATCAAATCGATAAAAAAAGAAAAAATAAATTTTGCATATCAAGAGTGCCAAAACATCTTTCTACATAAAGGATTTATATAATTTTGTTTAATTCCGCTACTATTAGCAAGTGTGAGATCACAAATATTCAGTGCGGAAATTTGACTACCAAAACGACCTTCTCTAAGGGTGATCAAATTCGGACCGTAATTGAGTCTACACCCATATTGCGTGTTTCGCCTCTGAACTCATTGAATAGAGTTCAGATACAGCTTGAAAGCCTAGTAGTGTTGACTGTTCGGCGACCAAATCGCGATCTCATAATAATTGTAGAGGACTTAATCAAAAAAAATATAAGTCCATAAAGTAGCAATATTTTTTGGCATGTACTTATTAATAAGTAAATTAATAAAATTTCACTTAAAGCAATCTTCTCTGGATACAATTATGGTAAACTCCTAATTAATTCACCACAATATGAACTAATCAATTTAGTGTCAATCAACTTCGTGTCCTTTCATCAACTCAATACTTTGCACAAACAAAATTAATATTATTTCGTCTGATGCCATTATAAACGAAATAAATTATAATTATAATTAATAAAATATATGTCCTAATAGTATTTAGGTATTCGACTTGAGTCTTGAGACTTGATGAGAGACAGTTTTTTCGTCATTTATTTCGTCGCAAGTGTACATAGAGTTTATATTGAATTACCCGTTATAATCACAGAGTATAAGTATACACATCTATATGGCTGACAAAAAGTGCCTTATCTCAAGAAGCTATGAGATGAATAAATACTGACGTAAGGCACACGATGTGTATTAGTAATAAATTCCTCATATTTAAGTTGACTGATCTGGAACTTTGATAAAATATGAGTAATTACTTAAACTTCAGAAGAACAATGAGAAAGTGCTCAGCTTATCTTGT